TCTCATGTTAAAATGCTCCAACTTCAAGGCTGCACACAATGTGCTACGGGATGAACACATCTTGAACCTCAGGTGACGGACTCAATGAGGCCTCCCTTACCTGCAGGGGAATGGCTTATTCACCACACTGTGCTAATTGGTCACCTGGACAGAGTAACTGAATTACTTCTAAGAACTAAGAACAGGGCTTCAAAAGAATGAAAATCACCATTTAAAAGCAGCCCAGACTATGCAGACTACAAAACAATACAGAGGAACATTTAAATTAAAAAGTCACTAAGAAATAACCAAAGCTAATAGAAGCCAGTCAGCTCCAGAGGATCCCTAACAGACACACACCCCTCTGGTGGGAGAGCAAATCCAACTTCCCCAGGTAGCTGATCAAGCCACCGCCTAGCAGAAGCCTATGAATGAGTGAGGGCTTTTCTCTCCCCAGTGTCCTATACTCTTTCCCACTGCTAATCACTGAAAATGTACCACGAAGAAAATGGTCCTAAGCTCTACTAACTGGAAAGAGGAAAAAAATAAAGTAAAGGATAGAAGGCAGAGTAGTACAATTTCAAAGAAGGACATAAACTATATTAGGAAGAGTCTGCAGGCATTACATGACTTTGTATGAAATACTGTATTCTTCTTATATATCCCTGGTACTAGATTAACAAAATAATCTCATTCTACAAAAATAAAATGTTGAAATGGAGATATTTAATTTTAAATTCTTAATATATACAAATAAGTAATATTTAATGCACTTTTACTCTGTTTACACAATCTTCAGTGGCTAGAAATCACAATAATTAAGAAGATGGAAAGGGCCTGCCATCCTTCCTAAGGTCACAGGTTCTGTTGATAAATTCTTACAACAGCTGATTGGAATATACGTTCAACTTCATATCTGAATTGTTTTACCTTGGAAACATGGTTGTTAAGATATCTCTATCCAAAGAAAGTATTCACGAAAACGGAAAGAAAATAATTCTGCTCTCTGGATTATAGAATAAAGGGTTCAGTACCACAAGATTTCCTTCACTGTAATACATTTTTCAGTTCAGCTTCTTTTGTATGTGATGCAAACACCTCTCCTGAAATGCTAGAGCTCAGAAAACAGCACTGACGGGAAGTGCCTTTAAATTTATCAAGTTTGGCAGCATCTCTATTCCAAAATTTAAATAAATGTTTCAATTCTGAACTCTAGATATGATAATGCTCCAGGTACTTTGATAGCTAAACCTGTCAAAATCACAGTATTTGCGAAGGGGTTTTATT